GACGAGAGAGAGAGACGACACACACACACACACACACACACACACACACACACACACACACACACACACACACACACACACACACACACACACACACACACACACACACACACACACACACACACACACAATATTGTGGTCGCAGGTTGGCCATAGCTAGTACTCAGAAATAATTATTTTTACCGGTAAAAATAATTTACCGCGGTTAAATTATACCACTTTTACCTAATCAGAGGCCTTGTTCCACATAATTTAACCGCGGTAAGAATAATTTATTCGCGGTTAAATTATGTGTAACAAGGCTTCTGATTGAATAAAAAGGCTATAAATTTACCACGGTTAAATTATATTCCTTTTTACTCATTCAGGGGCATTGTCACACATAATTTAACTGCGGATAAATTATTTTTACCGTGGTAAAAATATTTTAACTGCGGTAAAATTCTTTCCTTTTTACCTAATCAGGGACCTTGTCACACATAATTTAACCGCGGTTGAATTATTTCTACCGCAGTAAAAATGATTATTTCTGAGTACGATGGCCAGTTGACCATGCATACACGCACGCACACACGCACGCACGCCCACACACGTATACGCAGCAAAACAATAATAGCAAAACAATATAGCTCCAAGCTATATATATATATATATATATATATATATATATATATATATATATACGAACTTTTCCGTTTATTTCATCTAATATAACCAATTATTATTAATTATTACTAATTATATACTCTGTCATATAACCAAAAGCACAGACCTTTATTTTGGGCTACTATGCACCTACACAATATAGACACGATGTAGTAAGCTACAAACCACCGCAATGCGGTCCTCCGACATGAACAGCACCTATACTACCTCGATGTTTGCCTCCTCGCGGCGGCGTCCCCCAGTGTTTGCTGTCCGCCATTGTCGAGGTGCCGCTAAAGGGGTGGACACACTAGCCGATTTTTCGTGCGGTCGAGCCGGCCGGCTGAGCCTGGAGCTCTGCGGACACACTACGCGGCTGAGCCGTGCGACTCTGTGGATTTTCAGCACGCTGATTGGCTGATGAATTGTACAATCGGCCGGCTCAATCGCAGACCCGGGCACACTAGGCGATTGCCGCCGGCCGGCTCAAATAATTATCAAACATGTTTGATACGGCCGGCTCAGCCGGTCGGCTCGAAAATCGACCGCGACTGCGACCGAGACACTGGACACACTAGCTGCTTTTTCGTGCGGTCGAGTCGGCCGGCAGCCTGCACGAAAAATCGGCTAGTATACGTGTCCACCCCTTAACGCATAAATTCGGCGGTCACCGCCGCTACGCAGGATGTGAACGCGTTCATGAATAAAACATGACGCGAATCACGCTCTGGCTTCGCGCGCTGTCTCCTGCCTGTCCTGCGTTGTTCCCGCGTCTCCCATGGCGGCGCGCGCGGGTAAACTGCCTTCGTAATAACGGCGCAGTATGCACGTTAGAGTGTCCCTGTGTACTTACCGCTGTCGTGTCCTGCGTCACGGCCGATGTTCGTTCCAGCTAGCTAATATTAATTACGCAAATCCATGCTGGCTATAGCGATGGGCGTGTTCGATCCAGCGAGAGAGAGAGAGAGAGAGAGAGAGAGAGAGAGAGAGAGAAGGAGAGAGAGAGAGAGAGAGAGGGAGAGAGAAGAGAGAGAGAGCAAGAGGAGAGAGAGAAGAGAGATAGAGCAGGAGAGAAGAGAGGAGAGGAGAGAGAGAGAAGAGAGAAGGGAGACGAGAGAGAGAGGAGAGAGAGAGAGAGAGAGAGAGAGAGAGAGAGAGAGAGAGAGAGAGAGAGAGAGAGAGAGAGAGAGATGTGTGGGCAGAGTGTTTGTTTACATGTATGAGTGCATGGGAATGTTGTGGGTGGCGTGGACGAGATGAGTATATTGAGCATCGACATGCATATTATGCATAAACTGCTTTTAATCCTAATATTATATTAAACCCTCAGGCGTTAGGTTACTAAAGACGTATGAGCGCTGACGCATGATGAAATCCTTCAGAACGCATGACGCACTCGTCTCAAGTCGACTCATAAATCTCTCTTTTATTACTCCTTCTGGTTTGCACAGAATAATGATACTATTTCGCACTACAATCTACTCAATCTTACTATCGCGTCTTA